CCGGAGGGCGCGGCGGCGGCCGCGGGAGGAGGATGGGGGCCAACCAGCTGGTGGTGCTCAACGTGTACGACATGGTGAGTGCGGCCCGCGGCGCCGGGGCAGTTCTCGGGGCGGGGGCGGTGTGTCCTGATACCCGCCCGGCCGTCGTGTGGGCCTCGGGCCCGCCTGACCCCGCGGCCCCGGCCGGGGAGCCGTGTCCGGCAGCGGCCGTCGCGGGTCCGCGCCCCGCCCGCCCCCCTCGTGGGGGCCCCTGCCCGCCTCCCCTCGACCGAGTCTGCGGACGCCCGGCCGTCGAGCCCGGAAGGCTCGGCCGTCGAGGCCGCGCGGACGGCGCCCGGCCTCGTTATGGGGCGGCCCCGCGCTGTCGGGGACACAGCTCAGCTGGACCCCTTAGAGACGCTCCTCCCCGGATCCGAACCCGCTTCCCGGGTGAGAGCAGGTGCCGGCCGGGACCCGGGACGGGGCGGGAGGAACCGGCCCGTTAAGTCGCCGGACTCGCGGACCGCGGCCGCAGGGGCGAGTCCGAGGGCTGGACGGAGCTGGAGGACGCGGGGGCGAGTTCTCGTGGCGGTTGGGCGCCTGCTGGCTGGCCGGCTTCGGGTCGGTGATTTCTTGTCAAGGGTCGCCTCTGCCCGCGAGCTTTCGAGTTCCCTGTAAGTGGATTGGCAAGTGAAGAAGTGCTCGCTGCTGTTGGCTTGAAGATGCAGAACAGCAGGGATACTAGAGGGCGGGAGTCGTGGTTCTCCTTCTCACGCCTAAACTTGTTATTCCCGCGCACTGTTGATGAGTTTTAAAATTTACAGTGTCACGTCGTAGGGAGAGAGGAGTTCTCAGAATGTAACGTGGGAATTCTGTCGGGAGGGCGTGGAGGCGGCCCGGGCTCGACGTGAGCTGCCTGGGGTTGGGTTCTGATGTGAGCGCGGAGGTGACGGGAGGTGGGAGAACGCACTGGAACAGGGAGGCGTGATAGAAGCGGTTACAGAGAAGAATCATCAGAACTAGGGTCCTAGGCATGCAGGCGCTTGGGAAGGTCTTCTGCCTGTGTCACTGGTTGAGAAATAATTCTCTAGATTAAACTTTTTGTGTTCAGCTGGGTACCTTTATTTTTCAAGACTTTTAATTGCCTTTTTACTGTTTCTGTGCCCCTCCCCACCCCCCCACCCCCCTGATCTGAATTTGGTTTCTTGTTTATTCATGAGGACTATTACAAACGATTTCTCAGGATGTATTCTGCTTCTGAGAGCACAGTATGCCTTTTCTTCTAGATTATTAAGCCCCTGTATAAATTAAGATTATGCAGTGCACTCAGGGCCACGGTTTCATAGCCTAAAAAATCTGAGAAGGTAGAGGAAGAGAGAAGTTTAACTTTTTTAGTAAAACTGAAAATACGTTCTTTGGCGTATAAGGGGCTTCTTTACACCTTAGGTATGTTATGAATCACAAAAATCATTGCTAATTGTGGTAAACATAGGAAAAGCTAGAGATGATATTCACACCAGTATATTTTAAAGGGAGGAATGTTCTGAAAGATGTTAAAAGTATTAACAAAGATCTTATTCCTTACACCACGTTTGTAAGGTAGGTAGTTAACAGAGAAAACAGGTAAAGGGTAAGTTACACCCGCCCAGATGACTAAAAATAGGATCTAGAATTTCTAGACCACAGTCTGATTCATTATCTTCTCTACTGAATAATTCCCACGTTTGTATCACGTATATTGCATTTTCTTTTTTATTTTTTTGGAGGCGGGGGCTGGAATGAAGGGCTGAGGGGGTCTGTGAGCCAGGAGAACCGGTGAAAGTTTTCGTGGTAGGGAGCTGCATGGTCAGTTATGTTTTAGAATTAAGACCAGTGGGTTGAGGCACGAGTGTATATCTACTATACTCATTTTCCTCAAGTCAGTTTTGGTTTTTGAAACATTTTTGCTTGATGTCTAGGGCAAATTCCTTTTACCTTTGGTTGTACTTTCTGTTCATCAGAGATGCCTTTGATGAGGATTGCTGTCGTCTGCGCAGGCCTGGTACATCAGTTCTCTACCTAGCCCAAGCTTCGCAAACACGAAAAGCACCCTTTGGTTGGCGCTTGTAATCACTGTTTATAGGGACCTCAGCCGAGATCCCTGTGTCTGTCTGTCTGTGAGACTGTCACCGGCTCCAGCTCGGACTGTATTTCCCTTCACTAGATTGGGAGCTGCTGATCATTCTTTTCATCCAAGACTCTGCCACATATACGAAATAATGGTGTCAGGGTCCCCTGTGGTAACTGCCTTCTCATGGAGGAATAATATGCTTCCGGAAAGGTTCTTAATCCTACGTAGTGCTACTAAATTATTGCTTGCCGCCTTCTCCCTGATTATTTTCCTCTGTGTACTTTGGGGTGATCTTCCAGCAATAAAACTTGTCCTAGAGTTATTTTCCGAGTCTTGGGCGTGAGGTTGTTCACCTGTTCCTGATTGACTGGCGTGCGTAATGAAGCGGGTGAGTCAGATTAGTTTCAGTTGCCGGGACTGTCTGGGGTAGTCACTGTAGAACAAGGTCTTCAGTGCATAGGTCCAGATTTTGTCCTTTTCAGATTGTCTTGGCTATTAATGAATTTTTATAAAATAAAAATATGCAGTAGTGTGATAATGTTTGTAGATATATTCTGTAAACAATTTTCTTCCCATCTTTAATAGTATCTGTACGTCTTCAGAGTCTTAAAAGAGTAGTGAAGAAACGTTTCCCAGGGGTCTTCAGATAAGGCAGTCTCTGTCGGGACTCCATTCTTTTGGCCTCCTGTCTCCATGCGACTCCTCCAGGAGCAGGTGATGTCATGCAGGTGGAGGACGATCCGGCTTCCCGTACAGCTGGAGGTCTAGGTCAGACTTCCTGAAAGAGCACCCAACTCGTCTACGTGTGCTCTTCACCTAAATGATTCCATCGTGTCTCCAGATCAGCACATCCAGGAAGACACTTTTTCACTTCCCTCTCTTCCCCATTGCCCCTTACTCCATCCCCCCCAAAGAAGACCTCTTGTATTGTAATTTTATCTTGATAACTAGCACCTTCTTCTACTCACTTTCCCAAGCCGGAACCCAGGAGTGAAACTAAATTCCTCTTTATTGCAAACCCTTCTCGGTCAAGTCCCCAGGCCCTGCCTCTGTTTTAGTTTGGTTGATCTGTCTGAAAGTAACAGAGAGCTTGACAACCAGTGGCTTAAACTGGAAGGATACTTTTCTTAAGTCCGGAGCCAAATGGTCCCGGGGTTAGTTCAGCAGCTCAGCTGGGTCATCAGGACCAAGACTTTCCATCCTTCTCTGCTGTCCTCAGCATGTTGGCTTTTGTTCATAGTTGTAGAATGAGTGTCACAGCACCACACATAGGCTCCTCCTTCAGCAGACGTGGAAGAGACGGGGGTGAGTAGGGCCGTTCTCTGCCTGCACCTCTCTCCTGTTAGTAGAAAGGAGAAGCTTTGCCAGAGCCACCTCATTTCCCGAGAGATTGTCCAGAATTGGCTCACTCACATGCAACTGTGATGAAACTGAGAAAGAGAGGATCTGGCTTTTCCAGGCTTTTAGTGAGTTGTGGGTAAGGCAGGCAGGGAGTTGAAAATGGCAGTTACCTGGGAACCTGTGCTGTCACATATTTTACTTTCTGAATAGTCTTTACATTGGCTCCCTTATCCTCGTTCCCACTGTTGCTTCTCAAGTTCAGGCCCTCATTATCTCTGTTGGCTATTCGATGTAATAGCCTTCTTCCTAGTTTCAGTCTCGGGGATTACTTCATTTTAATCCATCTTCCCTTCTGTTACCAAAGTAATCTATCTAAAAGGTAAGTGATTGTGCCATTCCTTTGCCGAAAATTCACCTACGAGATAACGTCTAATACCCTTTATGATGTCACCTTCACCTGACTGTTAAAGGCCCGTGTCCCACCAATCCCCCACTGCTTCCCACCCCACCTTAACTTATACTCTTTATGCTCACACAATGAGATTTTTAGTTATTCGGACAGGCTATACTACACTAGTTCACACCTCAGTGTCTTTACACGTCCTGGTCCTTCTGTCGGGAACGTGCTGCTCCAGCATTGATCAGCGCAGCCTCCGGCTCCTTCTGGCTGTAGCTGAGCCTTTCTTTATCAGACTTGGGTGAACTCCTGTGCCCTTCTGCGTTGTACTTTCTGCATATCTCAGTCACTGCCTGTGTTATAATTCTCTGCACCCCACTAGACTAAATTCCTGGGTAGCATCATACTCTCACCAGTGTCTAGAACAGAGCCTGTCACTAGAAGGTATTCTGTAAATAAATTTTTACTGAATGAATGGGATTTTAACTAGGCAGTTTTATTAGGAATGGTGCCAGTACTTAAATGGCGTGGAAAGGTCATCTGATCCCTCTTCTCTTTGTGCCAAATACCTATTTCTGTATTTTTTTCCTTGTACTTAGTACATTGCTGGATTTAGCTTTCGTTGTTGGAACAGGGTGACCAAATGATGGGGAGGATCATGGGAATGGGGTAGGAAAGATATCAAGTATTCTTCTTTGACGTGGTTTTGTTTCGTTTTTGTTTTTTTTAAACACTGTGGGACTAGACTGAGGAAATGATTATTTTTTAAAGTTGGATCTTAGTCACTCCTTGGAAGATAATCTTTCTGAAAACATTGTCAGTTCTTGAATTTTAACGTAGACTAACTAGTTAGTAGAAACTAGTCTTAATTTTCTTGTACCAAGTATGCTTCTGGGGCCAGTGCCACCTCCACCACTTGACATAGAAGCGGTGACCCCTGCGTCTAGCTGAGGAAAAGAACAGTTATAAATCTGCCCTCCTGCATTATCCATGGCGGTATTCTCTTCCCTTTTTTTTTTTTGGTTTAGTACGTTTGAGAAAAGAATTCAATCTCTCTATGTATTTGTTTTCTATTGCTGCAATAACAAATTCCCAAAAACTTGGCAGTTTAAAACAAGGCAGATTTGGGGCCGGCCCGGTGGCGCAAGCGGTTAAGTGCACGCGCTCTGCTGCGGCGGCCCGGGGTTCACCGGTTTGGATCCCAGGCGCGCACCGATGCACCGCTTGTTAAGCCGTGCTGTGGCGGC